AAAATGCATTGGAACAACAACAAAGGATTTGAGAAGCAAACTTTCAAAAGAAAGGAAACTTTTTGGCAGGGAAAAAAATTATTTGAATAAATGTGGGTAGGTGTCATAACCAGCAATAAAATAACGCAATATATGTCACAACAGGTGTAAATATATGGGTCATGACAGTGTTATGACCATATTATGACAGGTTATGAAAAGTTATGTCAGCTGTTATGACATATTATGACATGGTTATGACCATGTCATAATGTGTTATGACAATGGGTCTAAAGTAAAGTGTTACACCTTGGGTATAGCAACCGTGGATGCTACAAACAATGTGCATGTCGCGTTGTACATTCCAGTATACAAACATTTACAATTACTAATGTACAACAGAGACTAAACTTTAGCAGTACTTATCTAAATAATCTGATATATATTTCCTTATAGTGTACATACACAGAGGCACCTCTGGCTTATTCAGTTAATTGCAAAGTTTTAGAATGTTGCAGATAGAAATGCAATGAATAGAGCTGACACCCTTTCATATTCTACTACAAAACATAGAATAATGTCTGTTCCAAGATAATGCATTTCTATTTCAACCTTCTGTGAAGTTGCACCCGCCTGCATAAGCCTGTGGTAAGGCTGAATGCAGATGGGAAACGTACCGAGCAGCAATATTTCTAACTAGTAACAAGACAAAATACAACATACATAATATAGTAGTTGTTACGGCACTAGTAGAGATATATTAAGACATTTCTGTTTCAATGTTTACATGCTGGTTTCAGCAGCACTGGCAGCAGCAGCAGGTCACTTAATTATTTCTCAATGAAGCAGAGCGAGAGAGAGAGAGAGAGAGAGAGAGAGAGAGAGAGAGAGAGAGAATAAGCATGACAGAAAATGGCACATTTGCACAGGTTGTGAACGATATCATGTGTCTAAAAACAGTTATCATCATTCATTCATTGTTAAATAGATGAATCCACAAGTGAACATTCTTGCTGTGCCGGCATAATATATGTTTCATATTTACCTCAGGAACCTGGTCTCAAGGTTTGATTGGCAAGGACTGTGCATCACAGCCTCTATCTAAAATAGCTTATTCTATGCTGTTGTATTTGTGAAAAAGCCATGCGAATCGTAAAGTTCAAGAGTTCCTGTAGTAAAAACACTACATTTCCTGCACTTATAGAAAGGCTATTAGTCCTTGTTATGCAGTTTGTACAGGCTGAATGGATCTCAGACGATCCTACAGTTATACAAAGAAACTCTCCTCTTGATGGGCCTGGATGGTTCCCAAAAAACCTTTAACGCTTTAATTGTCTGTGTACAATTAGGATTATACTACACAATGTTCACCAAACACATCCCACTGGGCACAGACGTAATTTCAACGTCTAGTTTTGATTTGCATTTGGTTGAGTTGTCAACCTGACGTGCATTCAACATGAAATTAACAAAAAATGTCACCATGTCATTCGATTTAGGTTAAAAGTTGGGTAAAATAAAACTGAAATTCTCTTACGTTGATGACTTTTTGCAAATCCAATCAGTTTTCCACATTGACTCAACGTCATCACATTGAATTTGTTTGTTGAAATGACGTGGAAACAACATTGATTCAACCAGTTTTTGTTCAGTGGGACAGCTCCTCACATATCATCTGGAGCTGATGGTTTCTCTTGGCGATGAAGATTATTTTTCTTCTGATAATAATAATAATATTTAATTTGTAGTGTGCATTTCCCACGCTCAAACTAAACAACAAACAAAAAACAGCATCAATACATCCTTAAGTAGAAACGACGATCACAATACATTGAAACATATAGACTTTAAGCAAATTAAGCGATGATACATGTACACTGAGTATACCAAACATTAGGAACACCGTCATAATATTGAATTGCAACCCCCCCCCCCTTCTTTTAACCTCAGAACAGACTCAATTCGTCGAGGCATGGGCTCTACAAGGTGTCAAAAGCACTCCACAGGGATGCTGGCCCATGTTAACTCCAATGCTACCCACAGTTGTGTCAAGTTGGCTGGATGTCCTTTGGGTGGTGGACCATTCCTGAAACTGTTGAGCGTGAAACACCAAGCAGCGTTGCAGCTCTTCACACAAACCGGTGCGCCTGGCACCTACTACCATACCCGATTCGAAGACACTTAAATATTTTGTCTTGCCCATTCACCCTCTGAATGGCACACATACACAATCCATGTCTGAATTGTCTCAAGGCTTAAAAATCCTTCTTTAACCTGTCTCCTCCCCTTCATCTACACTGATTGAAGTGGATTTAACAGGTGACATCAATAAGGCATCATAGCTTTCACCTGGAATTACTAATGCAGATTAATCAAATATGATCATGTGTTCTTTGATTTAATGTTACATTTCCCGTTCACCACCAGTTTTTTTTTTATGACAGTGTATGTGTGTGTATGTCATCTCAAAAGATAAGTGGATACTATCCTTTCCCCTTCTGCATGGGGGGGGGGGCTGGGTATGTTTGTAAGGTTGTGGGCGTATAGAAAGCCCTAAGCTCCTAAGTACATGTTTCACTACATCAAAAGGAGCTCATTTTACTATCATTCCAAAGTGCAAGCGAGAGTACATTAACATTGGCATCACATTTATAAAAAATTGAGAGAGAAACAGAAAAATATTATAACTACCCCTTTTCCAGTCATAGAGTAGTACCACAGTATGAGTCATAATACCCATAAAACCTAGCAGTCAAACAGGGAAATGGTTCCAATCGTTTTTCCACCATTCATTCTTTCCATAGGGGATTTTAGGGCTGTGTTTCGTGTAGGCTTACCCTGGCATGACGTTTTGATAACCGTGTAAATCTCTCTAGGACAAGGTGACTTTTATCAATACATTCGCCTGTATTTACCCCCCAAAAATGTAATGATAATTCATGCTAATGTAGCTATCATAAAGAACTACAAATGCCAAGATGATCTGGACAAGACTACCAAATCCAGGCAAAGGTGAGAATCTCTGGATTAACTATCTAATGTTAAGTAAATGTTGTAATGAATAAATTAACTACATTTCTTTAAACTGAGAATTCTTATGCTAGTTTTAAATTGACACAATACCTGTTAGCAAAGGGGTCAGCTGGAGATGACGCGCAGGAGCTTGCAGGGATTTGTAGTTTTGCATGATGTCTACTTTGACGCTAATTAGCATTTTCGATTCTGAGAGTAAATAGATCTGAATATATTGATAAAAGTCACCTTGTCCGAGAGAGATTTACATGGTTATCAAAACGCCACGCCAGTGTAAGCCTACACGAAACACTGCCCTTATTTTAAGGGTTTCTAAAAAAGAATGGTGGAAAAACCATTGGAACCATTTCCCTGCTTGACCGCTAGGTTTTATGGTTATTATGACACCTCCACTGTGGGGCTCTATTGTCCCTGCAATTTCAATGAATGCAAAGTAAGAAAGTAGAACATATAAAAGCAGTCTTTCCTGTATTGTGAGAATCAAGTCTATGCTATACAAGTTTAATCTGCTTGGTGTTATGGGTTTTCTTGTTCTCCGTTTATTATTGTGACCGGTGTCTGAGTTGTCACAGTGAGAGCAGACAGGTCGTCTAATGGCTGTGTTAAAAACTGACCTCAGTCTGGTAACAATAAGATGACTCTGCCACAAAAAGGATCAAAGAGAAATATAAGCATGAAAATATGCCATTAAGCAAAATAATGAGCGCGAAATGAACGACCGTAGTTACTAATAGTCACTGCTCGTTGCAGCGCTAAGTTTGACAAACAGCACACTCAAGTGTTCTGTCAATAATGAGGCCAGAGGCCATACCAATGATGTTAAAGTGTGTTCTGTCAATAATGAGGCCATAACAATGATGTTAAAGTGTGTTCTGTCAATGATGAGGCCATAACAATGATGTTAAAGTGTGTTCTGTCAATGATGAGGCCATAACAATGATGTTAAAGTGTGTTCTGTCAATGATGAGGCCATAACAATGATGTTAAAGTGTGTTCTGTCAATGATGAGGCCATAACAATGATGTTAAAGTGTGTTCTGTCAATGATGAGGCCATAACAATGATGTTAAAGTGTGTTCTGTCAATGATGAGGCCATAACAATGATGTTAAAGTGTGTTCTGTCAATGATGAGGCCATACCAATGATGTTAAAGTGTGTTCTGTCAATGATGAGGCCATAACAATGATGTTAAAGTGTGTGTGTGTGTGTGTGTGTCTGTGTGTGTGTTTGTATAAATGGCAAGTTGATGTGCTTGTTATTCTCCCATACATTCTGTTATTTGATCCATCTACAGTCAAATAAAGACTTAAAACCAACAAGCTAGAGTATTAAATATGTATATGTTATACACACATATATATATATATTTGTGGTTGTTTGTTTCCTCATTTCTCTCTGACATTCTATAATAGATCATAGTAGGAAACACTAACTTGGGACTGGGTGTGTCTGCAAGGCAAATCTTTACATAGCACTTCATCAGTCAAACGACAGATACATTGGAGTATCAGGGGACATAGAACTAGAACCATGTCTGAGCTTGTCTGTCTGCGTACGACTGGTGCATAAGTGTATCTGTGTGGATATTAGAGAACCGTGCGTTTAAAGGTTTCACACTTTGGGTTTTTGGGTGTCTCAATGTCAGACAGGCAGAACACAGTAATATTTGTTCAACACAAGTCTTACTTTAAGCTCCATCAAACCAGAAAGGCCAATTTTACAGCAACTCTTTCCTCAAGTTCCAGTCACACATATAAAACCTAAACAAAACTCCTAAACATTTCTCTCTTTCTCAGCTTCCCTTCAAGCAAACTCTCTAACAAATGACTGTGCTTGTTGCTTGCTGTCGAGTCTGTCATGTGACATATTTGGCTTCCAGCGGTGATCAAGTAGAACAAGGCTGTCTGTCTGTGATGATTATTGACTACATGATAAGTGACCTCCAACCTCTCCGCCCCAAGGCCTCCTAGGTGGTGTAGTTTTTCTCAAGGCGAGAGGTTGCCCAACAGGTCCGGGGTGAGGTACCCTATGGGCATGACGGGCAGCGGCTTGGAGAGGGGTTGTGGGGAGCAGGTGGGGGACCTCTGGGGGGAAGGGGGGTTGAGGAGAAGGCTGTGCTGGAAATCAACATCCTGAACCACAGTGTAGTCCGAAACAGGGGGGAGGAACTGAGCAGGGGGGGAATCAGGAAGGATGTAGGGGGACTGGTAGTCCCCTAGGGGGGTGATAGCAGGAAGATATGCCTCCTGGTGGGGCTTGCTCTCGGCGGAAGGTGGGTGGAAGGTGTGGTAGATCTCCCCAGGTGAGGAGGGGTCAGGGGTGCTCATTTGCCGGCCACTACTCTCTGTCGTGTAGCCCCCTGCCTCAGGTGCCACCACCAGCAGCTGAAACTGAAGCTTCTTCTTTCTCCTTTTCTCCTCTTCCTCACTCTCCTCTCCTCCCTCCATTTTCCCCTTCTTCTTCTTCTTATCCTCCTCTGTTGTTGGAGCGTTCTCCGGGGCTCTTACCTGCTGGCCTGGCGAGAGCACCACCCCTCCGGTGGGCGTCACATCGCTGACCTGGGCATAGAAGTCCATGTTTACCCAGCTCTGAGGGCCTCCCAGCTGGGTCTGGACCAGGTGTCTCTCCCCTCCCTCTGGAGGTAAGCCTGAAGCCTGGAGCCCAGGGCATGGGACCTCCAGCACATCTAGGGACGGGGTGCTTGAGTGGCTCCGGTTCCCCAAGCATGGCTCAACTTTGTCGGGTTGGCTGGACAGGAGGGCAGCCATCAACATCAGGGTTTCCTGGTCAGGCAGCTCTGGATCATAGCAGCTGGACTGGCCGGAGTCATCATTAGGGATGCTGAGAGAGAGAGGGATTGCGAGATAGGGGAATATGAGGGAGAGTGGACTGTTCCCTCGCCGCTCGCGCCAGTTTTTGCCTTTACTCTCTGATACGGGTTTGTCCCTGTGTCTCTCCTCTCTTTATTTTGTTTCTCCTGTGCTCTCTCTCCTTTCTTTCTCTCTTCTCGCTCTTCCTTTTTTTTCCTTTGCTCTATCTCTTTCTTCTTTCTTTCTCTCTCTCTTTCCTTGGTTTTACCTTTTCTCTCTATCTTCTCATTTTTTCTTGTCTATGGCTCCGACTCTCGTGAGCATCTTCTTGCTCAATGACTCCTTTTTTCCTGTTTGTTTTCCTTTTTCTCTCTCTCTTCCTGTTTTTTCCACGTTCTCTCTCTCTCTCTGCCGCTCCTCTCGTCCTCCACCCTCTCTCTCTCTCTCTCTCTCTCTTCTCTTCTCTCGCCTCTCTTTCTTCTTTCTCTTCTCCTTTCTTTTTTTCCTTTTTCTCTCTCTCTCTCTCCCTCTCTTCGTTTCTTTCTCTCTCTTCCTTTTTTCCTTTTCTCTCTCTCTCTCTTTACTTTTCGTATCCCCTAAACTTCTTTCATGTTTTTTCCTGCACTCTCCTTTCTCTTGACTTTTCGTCTCTTCTCTTATCCTTCTTTTTTTTGGCTCTTGTTTCTGCATTACTATACGTTCATCGGTTTCCTTTCGTTTTCTTCCTTTTCCTCTCTCTCTCCTATTCTCTTTCTATGAATATCGATTTTATCTTCTCTCTTCATCTTCCACGCATATGCTCGCTCCTTCTACTGTCTTCCTATCCTGTCACTCCTCCATCCTTACTACGTATCATCTTCCCTCGCTGCCCTGCCCCTCTACGTCTGGTGATCCATCAAAGCCCTCCTCTACTCCCTCCGTTAGTTAACTTTCTCCCATCCCTTACAGCCCCCCCCCTCTTGTGGTCCTACTTCTCCCTCCGTGTAGCTCATCCACATGCCCTGCCGGCCTGCCCCACTCGCCGGGTGCCCAATTCGTACGTCAATCGCCGACTGCCTGTACTGTGCGTGCTCCGCTTCTACGGGCACAGCCATTCCCGCGGTCTCAGCCCTTGAAATCTCGGTCCTTCATGCGAGCGGGCGGGCCCAGCTTGCAAGCCTGGGAACCTCCTCCCACTCGTCCCGGTACGCATCTCTGCCCTCCCGCAGGCCTGCCTGACCGGGCCTCGCGGAACTTGGTGCCTCTGTCCTCTTTGCACTTTTTTCTTGAGGGTAGGGCGGCCGTATGCAAGATACGACGACTACCGATTTCTACTCTCTCTCTGACGGTCACTGCTATCTCAGTACACACCTTTTTCTAAGGTCTTGTAGTTCTTCGATGACTCTTCTCTTAGGCTCTTAAATGTTTTTTTTGAGGGCCTTATTCTCTCTTCTCTCTCTTTCTTGTTGTGCTTTCTCGCTTCTTCTTGTTTTTCCTGTCGCCTCGCTCTCTCTTTCTTCTTTCTCGCTCTCTCTTCTTTTTTTTTTTCCTGTTCCTCTCTCTCTCTTTCGTCTTTCTCTCTCTCTCTTCCCTTTTTTTTCCTTTTTTTCCTCTTAGATTCTCTCCCTCTACTCTTCCTCTTTCTCTCGTCTCTTCGTTTTTTTTTTTCACATATTTATTTTGTTTTTCTTAATTTATTTTTGTTTGTTTGTTCCTTGTCTACCTTCTCTTCTCTATTCTTGGGTCTTACTGGAGAGCTTTGGTGATGATGAGGGGGAGGACAGTAGTGTTCCGTTCGCTTGGGCGTGATCATTCGATAATCGGAGATCTCTCTTAGGGGTTTGGGGACTTGTTATAGGGGATAGTATTTTAGTCGGTCGGGAACGGCGCCATTCAAAATGATTTTATTACTGCTATCTGTGGTGGAGAAGGGTGGTGCGTTCTAACAGTGCTCTCTGCGGGCTCTGTCCCTTTCTTTCTCCTCTCTCTCTTCTTTTTTTTTTCCTTTTCGAGAGTAGAGTTATCTAGAGCTACTGCTAGCTCTACTGACTGTAATGCTGCTTCATGCATCCAAAAGAGGCTCCTGTCCACTTTGACACTTTCCTAGTATAATTGCAGACATTTTTCGCTGAACAAGGCCTGCTCCATCATGTACCTGAGGGTGTGAGAGCAGCCATGGTTTGCGTGGTGGTTGTTGTGACCCAGCAGTCTCTGTGTATCCGAGCTCTTGTTGTCCTCCTTCTCCCCAGGCTCAAGCTCGTCTGCGTCCAGCTCGATAAACTCCACCCAGGGCTCGTCCTGGTACAGGTCAGGGGGGTAGGAGTGGAGAGCCCCCATACCAGCACCACTCAGGATGAAGTTCAGCTCATCCAGCTTTCCCTTCTGGAGGGGCGTTTAGGAGAGAGAGAGCCCCGAGAAGAGCGGACCGAGGAGAGAGGAGACCGAGAGAGAGATGGGGAGAGGACGAGAGGAGAGACGAGGAGAGAGAGAGAGAGAGAGAGAGAGAGGAGAGGAGAGAGAGGAGAGAGAGAGAGAGAGAGAGAGAGAGAGAGAGAGAGAGAGAGAGAGAGAGAGAGAGAGAAGGGTTTGAGACAGAAGAAAGGGAGAGATCAAGTGTGGGTGAGGGAATGAGTGTGAGAGTGTCAAGAGAATTTCTATCTCTAATTCAACCTAAGCTTGAATCATTACCAGGGGTTGTAAGGCCCTGGTTTTAATCATAAATGATTCAAGGTCCACAACCAGCAAGAATGATCTGTATTTTTATTCATGGAGAGCTCTGGCGCCAAAATACTGTTTTATACCCTTTGACACACAAAGGCACTTTGCTCCGCCCACCTTTAGGAGGCTTTTTTTAACCCGTTTTCTCAGTCCCCTTCACCCTGGAATGTTTAGTCCCGCCCCCCTCTGTTAGTGGGTTGCCACTACATTATAACTCTTAACACCGTTCACACATTTATACTGTATTTGGGGTGAAATCCTTTAGTCATTATTCTTAAAATACAAATGAATCTAACAGAGAGACAGAGAAAGAGGGAGAGTGAGTGTATGTATGTGTTAGAGGGAGCGAGGTAGGGAGAATGAAGCAGTGAGAGAGGGAGAGAGTGTGTATTTGTGTTTTGAGCAGGTATAAAAGAAATGTATTTTAAGTAATGGTTACATTGCAATTCTGGCTCTAGGTAAAATAAGTCAAATAAATACATAATTACGTATGTGAATGTGTGTGGCTATGAGAAGTGTAAAATGTGTATGTCAGGGATAATGTGCAATATGTTGAGTGGGTAATGACCTGTTTCTATTTTTTTGTACAGCAGTACTATGTATCGAAGACAATTTTCCCCTCGGAAACATTAACATTCATCCTATCCTGTCATTATCACCCTCCTTCTTATCAATTGTTTCTCAATTGTAAATTCTACAATATGTTGTACCGTATATGCTGTTGTAACTAAGATCCAGTCCATAAAATAGTATTGGAGCATCTAGAACTCTGTCTGACCACGGAAATGTATAGCGGAGCAGAGAGAGAGTTTATAAATTGGCTATAAAAATCTCCAGGTATTTTCAAGGACCAAACTGATGGTCTTTGCGTTTCATTGCCAAGCCCTTATGTGTACCCTATTAGTATATACAACATTTTGATTCTATTTATATGCGCATGCCCTGGTCATGTCCAGTCCTATCATATTACTGTGTTTTATTTACTGTTCATAGGGACACTCTGAGTGGCTTACTGTTCATAGGGACACTTTGAGTGGTTTACTGTTCATAGGGACACTGAGTGGTTTACTGTTCATAGGGACACTGAGTGGTTTCCTGTTCATAGGGACACTTTGAGTGGTTTCCTGTTCATAGGGACACTTTGAGTGGTTTACTGTTCATAGGGACACTTTGAGTGGTTTCCTGTTCATAGGGACACTTTGAGTGGTTTACTGTTCATAGGGACACTTTGAGTGGTTTACTGTTCATAGGGACACTTTGATTGGTTTCCTGTTCATAGAGTGGTATACTTAAGCTACTGTACAAGTGGTGGGGCTGTTTTGAAAAGTACATGTTCCTCATCAACAGCAGCCCACATCCCATTTCAACAGCACACCTCCAACACAATGACACCATGACACAATGAGCATATCAAATCAAATCAAATCTTCTTGGTCACATGCTTCGTAAACAACAGGTGTAGACGAACAGTGAAATGCTTACCCAACAATGCAGAGAGAAAGAAAATAGAGAACTAACTAAAAGTAATAATAAAAACACAACAAGTATCTCAATGTTCAACTTCCTACTCAAACCACAACGTTTTTAATTAACATCAATGTAGATGATGTGTTTTCATCATATGTGGTAGAACATAAGGCTATATGTACACTACATCACCAAGAGTATGTGGACACCTGTTCGTCTAACATCTCATTCCAAAATCATGGGCATTAATACGGAGTTGGTCCCCCTTTGCTGCTATAGCCTCCACTCTTCTGGGAAGGCTTTCCACTAGATGTTGGAACATTGTTGCGGGGACTTGCTTCCTTTCAGCCACAAGAGCATTAGTGAGGTTGTGCACTGATGTTGGGCGATTAGGCCTGGCTTGCAGTCGGCGTTCCTATTCATCCCAAAGGTGTTTGATGGGGTTGAGGTCAGGGCTCTGTGCAGGCCAGTCAAGTTCTTCCACACCGATCTCGACAAACCATTTCTGTATGGACCTCGCTTTGTGCACGGGGGCATTGTCATGCTGAAACAGGAAAAGGCCTTCCCCAAACTGTTGCCACAAAGTTGGAAGCACAGAATTGTCTAGAATGTCATTGTACAGTATGCTGTAGCTTTAAGATTTCCCTTAACTGGAACTAAAGGGCCTAACCCGAACCATGAAAAACAGCCCCGGACCATTATTCTTCCTCTACTAAACTTTACAGTTTGTCACAATCGTTTACGGACGAGAAGGACCAAGGCGCAGCGTGATATGCATTCATATTTATTTACGTACTGAACACACGACAAAAACAACAAACGAAACGTGACGTCCAAGGTAGACAAATAACATACCTCAACACGGAACAAGATCCCACACCCCACTAGTGCCAACAGGCTACCTAAGTATGGTCCCCAATCAGAGACAACGAGCTACAGCTGCCTCTGATTGGGAACCACCCTGGCCAACATAGATCTAAACGATCTAGAAACTAACATAGACAAACCCAACAGAAAATACACACCCTGACTCAACAAATACAAGTCCCTAGAGTCAGGGCGTGACAGTACCCCCCCCCCCCCCCCCCCCCCAAAGGTACGGACTCCGACCGCGCCACATAAACCTAACATGGTAGGGGCCGGGTGGGCATTCCGCCTTGGAGGCGGATCCGGCTCCGGGTGTGACCACTACTTACTCTCCACCTCCCCGTTGCGCCCCTGGTCTGGTCTGGACCTTGGCGCGCTGCTTCCTCTCTCCTTCCTCCCACAAAGTACCACGCCCTGTCTGGACCCTGGTGTGGGAGACCCCGAACCTGGAGAGGGGCTGACGTCTGGGTCTGGGGTGGAGCCGCTGACCGGAACTGGATCAGGCACCGGTGGAGCGGACTGCTCTGGCTCCGGAGTGGAGCCGCTGACCGGAGCTGGACTGGACCCCGGTGGAGCGGATTGCTCCGGAGTGGAGCAGCTGACCGGTGCCGGACCAGGCACCGGTGGAACAGGCACGGGCCGTGCCGGACTGGACACACGCACCACTGGCTTGGTGCGGGGAGCAGGAATGGGCCGGACTGGGCTGACGACTCGCACCACTGGCTTGGTGCGGGGAGCAGGAACGGGCTGTACCGGACTGGCGACGCGCACCACTGGCCTGGTGCGGGGAGCAGGCACAGGCCGGGCCGGGCATGCGACGCGCACCACTGTCTTGGTGCGAGGGACAGGAACAGGTCGGACCGGGCTGGCGACGCGCACCACTGGCTTGGTGCACGGGGCAGGAACGGGCCGAACCATACCGGGAACACCCACCACTGGCTTAGTGCGGGAATCAGGAACGGGCCGGACCAGACTGGCGACACGCACCACTGCCTAACCAGCTCCTCTCGCCGTGCCTCTACACTTTCCTTCTGTTCCCTCTGAACCAATGACCCCCTTAATCTGGCGGCCTCCTCTGCAAAACGGCTGACCCGCTCTATCGCGGCCTCCTGCTGCCTCGTCGTCCACGGTGTGAGCCCCCCCTAAAAATGTTTTGGGCTTGTCTCTCCCCCGTGATCATGGCCTCCATCCCTCTTGCCAGACTCTCGCTCAGCGTGATATGCATTCATATTTATTTACGTACTGAACACACGACAAAAACAACAAACGAAACGTCCAAGGTAGACAAATAACATACCTCAACACGGAACAAGATCCCACACCCCACTAGTGCCAACAGGCTACCTAAGTATGGACCCCAATCAGAGACAACGAGCTACAGCTGCCTCTGATTGGGAACCACCTGTCACGATCGTCGGATATCCATTTACATTTTAGTCATTTAGCAGACGCTCTTATCCAGAGCGACTTACAGTTAGTGAATACATTTTTTTAATTTTTTTTATACTGGCCCCCCGTGGGAAACGAACCCACAACCCTGGCATTGCAAACGCCATGCTCTATCAACTGAGCTACATCCCTGCCGGCCATTCCCTCCCCTATCCTGGACGACGCTGGGCCAATTGTGCGCCGCCCATGAGTCTCCCGGTCGCGGCCGGCTGCGACAGAGCCTGGATTCGAACCAGGATCTCTAGTGGCACAGTTAGCACTGCGATGCAGTGCCTTAGACCACTGCACCACTCAGGAGTATAGAGGAGCAAGGCGCAGCGTGGAAGGTGAACATACTTATTTATTAAATGATACACGAACAAAACAACAAATCGATACGTGACGTCCACAGGTGCAAAACACAAACCAACACGGAACAAGATCCCACAAACACTGTGGGAAAACCACTTGACTAAATATGGTTCCCAATCAGAGACAACCAGCAACAGCTGATACTCGTTGCCTCTGATTGAGAACCACTCTGGCCAACATAGATATACAAAAACTAAACTAGACACAACGAGCACAAAACATAAACTCTACACACCCTGGCTCAACTTAAAAGAGTCCCTAGAGCCAGGGCGTGACAGTACCCCCCCCTAAAGGCGCGGACTGCGACCGCGCCTAAACATCACCGAACAGGGGAGGGCTGGGTGGGCATTCCTCCTCGGAGGCGGTTCCGGCTCCGGGATTGACCACCACCCTCTACTAACCCCCCCGTAGTGCCCCTAGTCTGGTCTAGCCCCACTGGCTGGAGCTGGACTGGACTTCGGTGGAGCGGATTGCTCAGGCTCCGGTGTGGAGCAGCTGACCGGTACCTGACCAGGCACCGGTGAAACGGGCACGGGCTGGCGATGCGCATCACAGGTTTGGTGCGGGGAGCAGGAACAGGCCGGACCAGGCTGGCGATGCGCACCATTGGCTTGGTGCGGGGAGCAGGAACAGGCCGGGCCGGGCTGGCGACGCGCACCACTATCTTGGTGCGGGGAGCAGGAACAGGCCGGACCGGGCTGGCGATGCGCACCACAGGTTTGGTGCGGGGAGCAGGAACGGGCCGGGCCGGGCTGGCGACGCGCACCATAGGCTTGGCGCGATGGACAGGAACAGGCCAGACCGTACTGGGAACACACACCACTGGCCTTACACGGGGATCAGGAACGGGCCGGACCGGACTGGCAACACACTTCAGTACCTCTCGCCGTGCCTCTACATTTTCCTTCCCTCTATACACCAATGGCTCCCGTAACCCGGTGGCCTTCTCTCCTCGTCCACCAACTCGCCCCTTATCTGCCTCTAGTGGCCACGTCGTCCCTGCCATGTGCCCCCCCCTAAAAATTTCTTGGGGGTGCCCCTCGCCTGTCCGACGACTGCCCGGTTGGCGCCGCTTCTCCTCTCCTGCCTGGGCACGCTGCTTGGTCCTGTATTGGTGGGATCTTCTGTCACGATCGTCGGATATAGAGGACCAAGGCGCAGCGTGGAAGGTGAACATACTTATTTATTAAATGATACAGCTCATCTGCGCGCTCGTCGTCCTCACCAGGGTCTTAGCCTGACTGCAGTTCAGCGTCGTAACGAACTTCAGTGGGCAAATGCTCACCTTCGATGGCCACTAGCACGCTGGAGAAGTGTGCTCTTCAAGGATGAATCCCGGTTTCAACTGTACCGGGCAGATGGCAGACAGCGTGTATGGCGTCGTGTGGGCGAGCGATTTGCTGATGTCAACGTTATGAACAGAGTGCCCCATGGTGGCGGTGGGGTTATGGTATGGGCAGGCATAAGCTACGGACAACGAACACAATTACACTTAATCGATGGCAATTTGAATGCAGAGAGATACCATGACGAGATCCTGAGGCCCATTGTCGTGCCATTCATCCGTCGCCATCACCTCATGTTTCAGCATGATAATGCACGGCCCCATGTCACAAGGATATGTACACAATATCTGGAAGCTGAAAATGCCAATTCTTCCATGGCCTGCATACTCACCAGACATGTCACCCATTGAGCAAGTTAGGGATGCTCTGGATCGACGTGTACGACACCGTGTTCCAGTTCCCGCCAATATTCAGCACCCTCACACAGCCAATGAAGAGGAGCGGGACAACATTCCACAGGCCACAATTAACAGCCTGATCAACTCTATGCAAAGGAGATGTATCGCGCTGCATGAGGCAAATGGTGGTCACACCAGGTACTGACTGGTTTTCTGATCCACGACCCAACTTTTTCTGTGGTATCTGTGACCAATAGATGTATATCTGTATTCCCAGTCATGTGAAATCCATGAATTAAGGCCTAATTAATTTATTTCAATTGACTGATTTCCTTACGTGAACTGTGAATCAAATCTTTGAAATTGTCGAATGCGTTTATATTTTTGTTGAGTGTAATAATCTGTAATGCACTCTGAGTCATAACAATTCACACTTGTTTTCACATCCTAAATACTTGATCACACCTACTCACAAGAAAAACGCACGCACGCGCACACACACACACACACACACACACACACACGTATGCAGTGTTTGTGGTCTTACCTTAAGCAGTGCTGGATCTATCCCTTTGATTTTGGGTGCAGGGACAGGAGGCAGCAGAATCACCATCAGTCTGAGAGGAAGAGTAAGAGGGAGAGAGGAGATGAAGATGACTGTGTGTGTGTGTGTGTGTGTGTATGTGTGTGTGTGTGTGTGTGTGTGTGTGTGTGTGTGTGTGTGTGCGCGTGCATGCGTGTGTGTGCATGTGTGTGTGTGTGCGTGCATGTCCTCACCTCTGCTGCTGAGAGAAGATGATAAGTATGAGGAGAATGGACAGGCCCACAGCCCCAAAGATCAGGACCAGAGTCACAGGGAACGTGGACTCTAGAACAGGATCATCATCATCATCATCATGGACCAGCATCATCATCAACTTCATCATCATCCTTATCACCAACATATACGTATCTTATAATGAAGACACTTATTTAACAATTGTCATTATGTAGTAATACTATCTTATCCTTGCACAAGATGGCTGCCATGTTTGTTCCCAGGGACTGCAGTTGAAAATTTACCATCTGGCTAAAACAGGCACTTTTACAGTAATTTTTTATTTTATTTTATTTTATTTATTTATTTAAAAAAAATTAGGGGGTAGATCAGCTTTAATATTGCAGATAGATTGTAACTTCCATCAATGTAATTGTCAGCATCACTTCCAATCCCCCATATGTTTTTTTTCTCGCAAATATATATATATACAGTGGGGAGAACAAGTATTTGATACACTGCCGATTTTGCAGGTTTTCCTACTTACAAAGCATGTAGAGGTCTGTCATTTTTATCATAGGTACACTTCAACTGTGAGAGACGGAATCTAAAACAAAAATCCAGAAAATCACATTGTATGATTTTTAAGTAATTCATTTGCATTTTATTGCATGACAGTAGTATTTGATACATCAGAAAAGCAGAACTTAATATTTGGTACAGAAACCTTTGTTTGCAATTACAGAGATCATACGGTCTTGACCAGGTTTGCACACACTGCAGCAGGGATTTTGGCACACTCCTCCATACAGACCTTCTCCAGATCCTTCAGGTTTCGGGGCTGTCGCTGGGCAATACGGACTTTCAGCTCCCTCCAAAGATTTTCTATTGGGTTCAGGTCTGGAGACTGGCTAGGCCACTCCAGGACCTTGAGATGCTTCTTACGGAGCCACTCCTTAGTTGCCCTGGCTGTGTGTTTCGGGTCGTTGTCATGCTGGAAGACCCAGCCACGACCCATCTTCAATGCTCTTACTGAGGGAAGGAGGTTGTTGGCCAAGATCTCGCGATACATGGCCCCATCCATCCTCCCCTCAATACGGTCTAGTCGTCCTGTCCCCTTTGCAGAAAAGCATCCCCAAAGAATGATGTTTCCACCTCCATGCTGCACGGTTGGGATGGTGTTCTTGGGGTTGTACTCATCCTTCTTCTTCCTCCAAACACGGCGAGTGGAGTTTAGACCAAAAAGCTATATTTTTGTCTCATCAGACCACATGACCTTCTCCCATTCCTCCTCTGGATCATGCAGATGGTCATTGGCAAACTTCAGACGGGCCTGGACATCCACTGGCTTGAGCAGGGGGACCTTGCGTGCGCTGCAGGATTTTAATCCATGACGGCGTAGTGTGTTACTAATGGTTTTCTTTGAGACTGTGGTCCCAGCTCTCTTCAGGTCATTGACCAGGTCCTGCCGTGTAGTTCTGGGCTGATCCCTCACCTTCCTCATGATCATTGATGCCCCACGAGGTGAGATCTTGCATGGATCCCCAGACCGAGGGTGATTGACCGTCATCTTGAACTTCTTCCATTTTCTATATAATTGCGCCAACAGTTGTTGCCTTCTCACCAAGCTGCGTGCCTATTGTCCTGTAGCCCATCCCGGCCTTGTGCAGGTCTACAATTTTATCCCTGATGTCCTTACACAGCTCTCTGGTCTTGGCCATTGTGGAGAGGTTGGAGTCTGTTTGATTGAGTGTGTGGACAAGTGTATTTTATACAGGTAACGAGTTCAAACAGGTGCAGTTAATACAGGTAAGGAGTGGAGAACAGGAGGGCTTCTTAAAGAAAAACTAACAGGTCTGTGAGAGCCGGAATTCTTACTGGTAGGTAGGTGATCAAATACTTATGTCATGCAATAAAATGCAAATTAATTACTTAAAAATCATACAATGTGATTTTCTGGATTTTTGTTTTAGATTCCGTCTCTCACAGTTGAAGTGTATCTATGATAAAAATTACAGACCTCTACATGCTTTGTAAGTAGGAAAACCTGCAAAATCGGCAGTGTATCAAATACTTGTTCTCCCCACTGTGTATATATATATATATAGACACACATACTACATACATACATACATACATACACACACATATATACATACATACATATATATATACATACATACATATATACACATACATATACATATCCTTAAAAAATATATATTTCCCTTTATTACCCTCCAACCCCACCACCCCTTCCCTAATTGGAGCAAACTAGTGAACAACAATGCTTAGGCCTCTACTTCCAGCTTATACATACTATATACACTTTATGGACACAATGTCAGAGCGGGCGTAGGTGTGGTGTAGGAATCAGATGCAGGACACAGATGCTAGTCCAAAAATACTTTAGTAAAGTCCACAAAAGAACGGCTACAAACAGAGCCGGAGGCAACGAGAAAACTAACGCACACAGCGTCTAAATGCAAAACACAGCAAACACGCACAACAAGTGCGGACTCTCTATCTAATACAAAATAGAGCACTAACTGACTGGAAGCACCAGCTGACAAGGAACAACTACACACAACCACAAGACAGAAACAACGAGAACTTAAAGGACACATAATCAAGACAAAATGAGAAACAGGTGTACCAAAACAGACCAAACCAAACAAACACAGAAACAACGAACGGTGGCAGCTAGTACTCCGGAGACGACGACCGCCGAAGCCTGCCCGAACAAGGAGAAGGAGCAGCCTCGGCCGAAACCGTGACACACAATCAATTTTACAATAATTCTATTTTGTTTGTTTTTACTCCTGAACTTCCTCTACCCTCAACCTCTCTGATCATTTTCATGATGTCCATCTGGTTTGCTTCTATATGCCATATCTTTCTAACTGTGCTCTTTCACAAAAGCTCTCAACCTATAACCTATATACTTATTATGGACACAGTATGCTTACATTATTAGTTATCTTGTTGTTATTAGCTGTTGTTAGTTGTTATTAGTCCCATCCTTCAACTCCATTCAACACCACCCATCTATCTCTTAACACCATCCATATTGGATTTCTATTTGCCATATATTTTTCAACTGTACTGTGATGTTTTACAAAAGTTCTGAACCTTTCTATTCTCATTGTTTCTACAGATTGTAAATTGAAAATAAACATTTTTGCTAAAAGTATTATATTATTGATCGATTGACTATGACTTTTCAGATCACCCAGTAATGCTATCTGCAGGGTTAGCTTCAGGTAAATATTGCAATCCTTTAGCCATTCCTGGACCTGTGTCCAAAAATAAGCTACAAATGGACAGTACCAAAACAAATGATCTAATGATTCTGTCTCTTCGCAGTAAAATCTGCAGAGCTGGGAAGATTGTATCCCCCATATAAATAACATTCTATTGGTAGCAAGAATTTTATATAATAATTTAAATTGAAAAATTCTACGTTTTGAATCCAGCGTTGTTTTGCGTATCAGTTCATAAACACTATGCCATGGGATCGGTACGTCAAAAAATTTTGCAGTAATGTTGATTAATGTGCACTGTCTCTGTAAAACTACATTTAATAGTGTAAACAACACCGGCCCTCCTCTTCCCTCTGCTTCAACCCGAGCCACCCTGCCTGACCCCAACCTGCCCTGCCCGACTTCGCCTGACCCCAACCCGACCCTGACCTCTCACCTTTACTGGGAATCTCTGGCACGTGGACAAAGATGACATCACTGAACTCCCCAAAGTTATTGAAGGCCCTCATTGCACAGTGCACGCGCACCTCGTACTCCTCTCCTGTCTGAAGGCCGTAGATAGACTGCTGGGTGCCAAACTCATGCTCCAACTGAGAGAGAGAGGGAGACGGGGAAGGGGGAGAGGGAGAAATGGGAAAAAACTTTGTAAGAGAGGAATACGATCTAAAGCTATGAAATGTTCAAATAAAAAGTGATTATGTCTCAGAATAAATTAGCTTCTATAAACAGTCTTCAGTGCCACAAACAAACTTGGCACTGTCGTTGATTGAGGCAGTCAACAACAGGATCTCTCTACTTGTTTGTGTCTTTATGAGAGGTTGATCTGGGGGTATTTCTGTCAGTGACCTCCCTTGGCCTTGCCCTCTAACTCCTCTGACCCCTGCCCCTCATCAAGACCATGTTTTCGCCAGAAGGCCTAGCTCTGGCTTCCGCTACGGCCCCATCAAAGCTGCAGAGGCTGCTGGGTAATAGGCTGGAAGTGCCGTCAGGTTGTGTGTGTGTGTGTGAGTGTGCCTGTGACTCACCACTTTCCAGTGTGAGCTGTTCCTTCTCCTGTACTGGACTTCATACACCAGTGTCAACCATCCAACGGATACGTCGGCAGAGGGCGGGGGTTCCCAGCTCACCATGATGTCATAGTTCAGGCCTGACCGGCTGATGTTTAGCAGTGTCCAATTCAGAGCCACCGGGGGGTCAGGGTGCACTGGTAGGGGTGAAAGGGCAAAGGTCAGTATATGAATGACTGGCCAACAAATGACCAATCTAGTGACAGGACTTTGGGTGTATTTTAATAGTCTGAAGTGGCTTCTTTCTCCATCTGCATAATGCTCTGATGAGACCAATTTAGAATTGTCTTCAACATAGACCACAATTAGTTTAATCATGTGTTTTTGAGCTGGACTGGAACAAAGCTTGTACCCCCTGCGGCTCCCAGAGTCTCACATCCCCATGCTAGTCTATAGACCCCAACTACATTCAGCCACGGCCTGATTTTTTCATGAGTGGAGGGTCAGGGGGTCAGAACATAATTATAAATAATTTGTACACTGCCAATTGACCGCAAGAAGCCCAAACAGATATAGTATTTTACAAAACATAATTTCAAACCTTGATTACATTGGGATACGTTCACGTGTCTCTATGGGAACACTTAGCAACAGATTTCCTACATTAAAATCACTTAAAGATTATTTCCTGGTGATTTTACAGTCTTTGATGTCCAACAACGAAAATTGTAAAATAAATTATTTAATTATGAGTTCATTTATGACTTTTACTTGGGGGGCCAAATAAAATCACAAATTTGGCCCGCGGGCCGCCAGTTAGGGAACCCTGCTATAGACAATGTCTATCACACTGTCCACCTTGCATCAGAAAAGCATGACTGAAACATGTGTCCCTGCCAGTGTACCTGTGTCCACTAGTCCAGTCGGTGTGAAACCTCCCTGAATAATAACAACACTTGCTGCTTTACATGCAATATTTCATTTCCACACATATTCCCACTGTTAGGTAAAGGACCCACAGAGGTCCAAATTAGGTACAGTATCTTAAAACTGTGGGAGCATCTAACTGTGTGGGTATGGTCTGACATTGACCAACATGCAACAGGACAATGTTGTTGTCCTGCTGTTTCTGGCAGATAGTGATAACGTGTTGGCCTTCTAGGCCTTCCTGCTCCTGGTCCTCCTGGGAACCCAGTGTGCTTGCAGGTTTTCATGTCAACCCAATTACTTCCGTCAACATGATTTAATGAAACAGTAATCAACTCCTCGTCCCACGACACGTTTGGATGGCCCCTCAACCAATCAGGTAGATGGAAGCAACTACGTGTTAAAGTCAACTGCCACTGACGACATCAAGACTGAGACTTGATGACAATTGTGTATTTCAAACAGTCAAGTTGTGTATTTCTTAAAAGACATCAGTGGCTTCCAGAAAATGAAGCCACTGATGACCCCACCCAGTTGGTAAGCCAGTCGGACCCATTCAGATCCTTCAGTTCTGCATCTGGGCATAAAGAAGTGTCTAGAGGCTATCAACTAAGTGTTAACTATAACAGCACATATTAGCATGTCTCTGTTGTGCCCTCACCGATGTCCTGCAATTCGAAGCACAAGGTATCGTAGGTTTTGTTCTGGCTTTCAGAGTGGAGCCGCACACAGTATTTGATCCAGATAACCGTGTTGTTCTTATTGAAGAAACACTCGTTCTTCACAGAGGAGGAGTAGTCAGGGCACTCCTTCCATTCCTTCGTCAAGTCATTCCTAAGCGAGAGAGAGAGAGAGAGAGAGAGAGAGGGAGAGGAGAGAGAGAGAGAGAGAGAGAGAGAGAGAGAGGGAGAGAGAGAGAGAGGTCTTTTAGAGGTCTATTATACAGATTTTAGAAGTCTATGCAGGTATACTCTCAAGTAGGGGTGTGCCGAGTACTCTGACAAAACGAGTATCGTAACGGATATGGAGAATTTTCGAATATGATTATGACACAAGTATTTTTGTATTATTAGCCGTGATCTGAAAAAAAGTTATAGGTCTAAGTAAGTATGCATTTTCATCTGTCGGGGTCGTTTAACAATGTGTGTGAATGAGTGAAGGAGCATAGCGATGTGCTCTGAGTGACAGCGCAGTAATGTGAGTGAAGGAACATGACGATGTGTTCTGAGTGACAGCGCAGTAATGTGAGTGAAGGAACATAGCGATGTGCTCTGAGTGACAGTGCAGTAATGTGAGTGAAGGAACATAGCGATGTGCTCTGAGTGACAGTGCAGTAATGTGAGTGAAGGAACATGACGATGTGCTCTGAGTGACAGCGCAGTAATGTGTGTGAAGGAGCATAGCGATGTGTTCTGAGTGACAGCGCAGTAATGTGTGTGAAGGAGCATAGCGATGTGTTCTGAGTGACAGCGCAGTAATGTGAGTGAAGGAGCATAGCGATGTGTTCTGAGTGACAGCGCAGTAATGTGAGTTAAGGAACATGACGATGTGCTCTGAGTGACAGCGCAGTAATGTGAGTGAAGGAACATGACGATGTGTTCTGAGTGACAGCGCAGTAATGTGAGTTAAGGAACATGACGATGTGCTCTGAGTGACAGCGCAGTAATGTGAGTTAAGGAACATGACGATGTGTTCTGAGTGACAGTGCAGTAATGTGAGTTAAGGAACATGACGATGTGTTCTGAGTGACAGGGCAGTAATGTGAGTGAAGGAACATGACGATGTGTTCTGAGTGACAGTGCAGTAATGTGAGTGAAGGAACATGACGATGTGCTCTGAGTGTCAGTGCAGTAATGCTCATTTGAGGTATAGGCTTTAACGGCATTTAAAGCACACTTCCAGATTTTCCGATCACGAGTAAATCCGATCACGAGTATCAAGTGTGATAAAACGGATAAGATTACGAATATGAGTATGATGAGATCGGCACACCCCTACTCTCAAGTCCACATGAGTCATTGATAAAAAGAGAATACAACTTAAATAATTTCTTAAGATACTTCAGGGGTATATAAAGCACACAGACTCTTTACACTATTTACACACACACACACACACACACACACACACACACACACACACACACACACACACACAGGTCTCTCTCTCGGCTCACTTCTTCCAGTACTGGATTTGCAGTGCTCCAGGTTCCGTGAGATTCTGGAAGCTTCCGGGACTCCACCAACACCTAAACGTCTCCTGTTCCCTGGACTTACACCCAGTCAAATGAGGACCCTGGACGGTGGGATCTGAGAGAGAGAGATTTCTATAATTTAACAAATACCTTTATTGGCCCAGTAGTTCGATTTGAGCACAATCTTTAATTCTAAGCGAGAGAGAGAGGGAGAAAGAGAGATAGAGAGATTCTTCAATGATCACAGAGAAGCAAACTGTAAGAAAATGACATATAGGCTACTGTATAAGACAAGATACAGTATGTGATTCCTCCATCTGTGGTGAGGATCAAATCTTTCATTAGGAGAAATCTGCAGGCCTCTGGTTTCTGAGGTGTGGACTTGGAACAAACTTTGATATGGGGTGGAACTGAGTGTAATTGAGTTTGGGAGGCAGGGAGAGGCACAGCATTTTATACAACAGTAAATCAATGGCTGTTCATATATTTATACACATTCCAAACCCCTGCTAGCCGTGCACTGTGCATTTCAATCAGGCAGAGCATTACTACTGTAGAAAACAGTGACATTTTGAGTAAATCTGTCTTCAAATCTTGGTAGCAGGGCACCTGAGTGTAACCTAAATATACACTTTCCTAGTCTGTTTTTCTATTGCCACTTCTATTCCACCCCTCTCCCCTCATCAGCTCTTTTTCTCCTCCTCTACCCCCTCCACACCCCCACCGGCCCATCCTCGCTTCCAGACAATTTGTCATCCAGTTGTGAGGCTCTGGGGTTGGCACAACCATAAATAAGCATCTGAAGGTGCCATTGATTTCTGCTCTCTGCTCTCCCCTACTGACTGCAGCACAAATCACAGAACCCAGAACACACACACACACACACACACACACACACACACACACACACACACACACACACACACACACCACACACACACACACACACACACACACACACACACACACACACACACACACAAACGCACGCACACACACGCAAAGTTATCTACTCTCATAAATCTTCAACTACTAGCTATTTCAATGAAAATTATCTTATACGTTTTTAGTTTGTGGACACGCTTTGCATTTGATAAGTGGTAATATCATCATCACCATACTGTCACAATCATTATCATCGTCAACATGGAACATACACTACATGACCAAAAGTATGTGGACACTTGCTTGTCTAACATCTCATTCCAAAATCATGGGCATTAATATGGAGTTGGTCCCCCCTTTGCTGCTATAACAGCCTCCACTCTTCTGGGAAGGCTTTCCACTAGATGTTGGAACATTGCTGCAGGGACTTTCTTCCATTCAGCCACAAGAGCATTAGTGAGGTCGGGCACTGATTTTGGGCGATTAGGCCTGGCTCGCAGTTTGCGTTCCAATTCATCCCAAAGGTGTTTGATGGGGTTGAGGTCAGGGCTCTGTGCTGGCCAGTCAATTTCTCCAAACACAGATCTCGACAAACTGTTGCCACAAAGTTGAAAGCACATAATCGTCTAGAATGTCATTGTATTCTGTAGTGTTAAGATTTCCCTTCACTGGAACTAAGGGGCTTAGCCCAAAACCATGAAAAACAGCCCCAGACCATTATTCCTCCTCCACCAAACTTTACAGTTGGCACTATTCATCCGGCAGGTAGCATTCTCCTGTCATCCGCCAAACCGAGATTCGTCCGTCGGACTGCCAGGTTGTGAAGCGTGATTCATCACTCCAGAGAAGTCCAATGGCGACGAACTTTACACCTCTCCAGCCGACGCTTGGCATTGCGCATGGTGATCTTAGGCTTGTGTGCGGCTGCTCGGCCATGGAAACCCATTTCATGAAGCTCCCGAAGAAACAGTTATTGTGCTGACGTTGCTTCCAGAGGCAGTTTGGAACTCGGTAGTGAGTGTTGCAACAATCTTTACACGCTACGCGCTTCAGCACTCGCCGGTCCCGTTCTGTGAGCTCGTGTGGCCTACCACTTCGTGGCTGAGCCGTTGTTGCTCCTAGACGTTTCCACTTCACAATAACAGCACTTACATTTGATCAGGGCAGCTATAGCAGGGCAGAAATTTGATGAACTGACTTGTTGAAAAGGTGGCATATAATGACGGTGCCACGTTGAAAAGTCACTGAGCTCTTCAGTAAGGCCATTCTACTGCCAATGTTTGTCTATGGAAATTGCATGGCTGTGTGCTCGATTTTATACACCTGTCAGCAACGGGTGTGGCTGAAATAGCCAAATGCACTAATTTGAAGGGGTGTCCAAATACTTTTGTATATATAGTGTATTTCTCAGTTTCTTTGGGATGTTAAAAACATGTACATTCACAGGTTCTATGTGAGTATAGGCCTACATCTCATATTTCAGTGCATTGCTCTCTCTCACTGTCTCTTTCTCGCTCCCTTGTTCCCCCCCCCCCCCCCCCCCCCTCTCTCTCTCTCTCTCTCTCTCTCTCTCCCTCACATCAAGGACGATCTGTTGCTCCCTGCACTCTGTTATTTCAACCGTCCCTAACTCCCACCCCTCGAATTCCAGCTGCCACAATCAGAGTTACCGCAGACCTGGAAAGCCATGAGGCCAAAACCTACAGCAAGGAGAATGGCATACAAGTCAAGACAAGATAAGACAAGTCACGACAAGTCAAGACATGTCAAGTCTTGAAGTTTATTTGTCATACTGTATTCACATGGCACAACATAGTACAATAAAAATGCTTACTTGCAGGTTCACTCTCGACAGGCTGCATAACAAGAAGGAATAGTTATAATCAAATAAATATAAATCCAGAAATATAAATTCAGGGAGGCACTTAAACAAAGTTTGTGTTCGTGTGTTTGGGTATATGGGTGCATATGTACTAATAGTCAGTGCAAGGAGACTGTTGATGTGCAGGTGGTCAGCAGCCTGATGGCTTGTGGGTAAAAACGGCCCCTGCCTAGACACACTTACTGCTTCACTTTAAAAACATAGACAAGGCAGAAATAGTTGCGCCATTTCCTGGTTGCTAAAATTCTAATAGTTCGCCTAATTTTAGTTTATGTGACAAAACAAGCAGTCATTGTGTAGACAATCACTGTACCATCTAAACCGCTGTGATATATCTTTTCCATAACCAAAAATATTGTATTTTCAGCTGTTTGAAGCTGGTGCACAAAACCTAAAGTAAAAGACGCAAAAACTAAACTGTAGAATGGGAAGCGAAAAAATAGCACACATAGAACAGATCTACCGCTTCTAAGACTAGCTTTCAATGACAATGACAGATCTATAACTCACATATCTATGTACATTTAGTAGGGTCGCCCAAAAAGTTACATATTGAAGCTTTAAGATACTCTTGAGTTCAATTTTAACCAGAAAATCTAACCCCTGCCCTAGACCCCTGCCAACTGAAAGAGTTGATTCATAGTAGAGATGCACTGAAGTAAACACGTACAGATGTAGGATCTTAATTTGAGACAGTTTGCTATAGCAGGAAAATAATCCTGCAGCAACAGGAAATGTGAATGATTATGTGGATTATAATTAATGGACATTTATGTAGGGGTTGATACATTTTTCATTAGGGCAAATCAAGTCAAACATTTCTAAGCGGAAATTACAAACTTTAGAAGCCGTTTTAAAACTCAAATACACTACGTTTGTATTTCCTGCTTTGCAGGAAAATTCTCAGCAACAAAAGAGTGATCAAATTAAGATCCTACATCTGTAGCATAAAACAACAGCAGAAATAATTGCCTTCCCCTGGCCTGCCTTGGCAATTACTGCAAGGCTAACCGAATAGGCTAAGCATGAATGGAAATATTGCATTAAAGAACCTTCTCAAATGGATAAAAAAAAAACATACTACAGGTAGACTTCTGAACAGTAAATTGTTTACGAATGTCAAATCATGACTTTCTCTATACGTTTTAAATGTTAGCAGACTTGATCAAAATAGACTAAGATCAAATTAATCTCTGAGTCATGGATACAACAATAATAATAAGGCCCCATCAAAAGGAGGTGTACTCCATCGTAGCTTGTGTACTAGGCTAAGTGAAACGATTGTGATGAATTAATACTGAAGTTTTAAATATCTTTGACGTCATTGTAGGTGGTTTTATATCAAAGCGTCTGCTAAATTACCATACACTGAGGAGGAAGTCAAGGTAAACTGGCAATTCACCACTAATCTATCACCAACGGGACACATCAATCCAGCATCCCAGCCTAAATTGTGTCAGAGGTGAACGGTCCGAGGTGAAACGGTTTCCTGCATGCTCACATGCTGCTCATTCAAACCTTTGATCTGTACACTTTTGACAATTAACTGATCTAAAATGGAAAATGTCTAAATGTCCAGAGACCTTTGTCAGTAGCTTTTTTTTATGTCATCTAAAGTCAGGTACAACATTATTGGCACACTTGATAAAGATGAGCAAAAAAGACTATAAAATAAATAATGCAAATACTGCAAAATACTGTTTGAATAAATTACATATTATTTTATAATAATACGATTGCTCAGATAAATATATTTTGTTTGTGTGGTCATGTGCATGCTCCAGTCTGTGTGTGCTCCAGTCAGTGTGTGCTCCAGTCAGTGTGTGCTCCAGTCAGTGTGTGCTCCAGTCAGTGTGTGCTCCAGTCAGTGTGTACTGCATTTGTACACTCACTCCTCTTTCTCTCTCTGTCAGGTTGAAAAACAGTGTTTGCCTTTCTTCCTCCCTGTACCAGTCCATACAGCGTAGCTAGGAAACAGAGCCAGACTCACTGCCTAGATGTCAGCTTTGGTCATCATGCATCATACAAACCCTCACCAGTCAAAATAAAACACTTTATGGGAATGCCAAATCTGCCGAGTGACTAGCGATAAATCCTGGTTTGAAAAGAGCAAAGGCATGATAGAGATGTATCGGTGGGTATATTGCTAAACGGTTAGCTAATTGCCCTGAAGAGCCTGGGGGATATGGGGCTGAAGCTGAGACCTTTTCCAACTCATTTGGTAATGGCCCAGCTAACAACAAACTTTCTCACAACTTTAGAAAATGTTCCCTTAAAGGAACATTTCAAAAAATTTCAACTTCATATTCATCATCTCCAGCACCACCCCAACCTCAACATACATGT